TGCGGCTGTATATTCTCACCTATTTCACTAACTTACATGTGACATGCGATGTTTAAAATATGATCGCATCCAAAATACCCGCTTATCCCTTCCACAACAACGACACCTTAGAACCATCTCTGAACATAACATACTCTAGTATGCAAGTTTTATGGTCTTCGATTTTCATGATCGTGTTCTTGATATTAATATATTTAAATGTTATGCTCCAGGTATGTTGAAAGTACACAACAAAAACAAGTATAGAAAACCATGTTTTTTTCATAACCGATTTTCTGAATCAAATATAGATTTTTTCCCCCCACAGAGAACATGTCTGTTTTAAGTTATGGCTTACACAGCTTTTCTAAATTTTGCTTTTAATTTTTCTTTAGTCGTTCTATACATAACGATAAAAGTAACTCTGTGATCTATTTTGATTTTCTAAAATCCCTTAATTAAACTCAGGAAGTTTCTGGTGAACTATAGCTCCTGGCACTTTTTTCTTTTGAGAGTAAATAAAAATAAAGTCAGTGAGAATTGCACTCAGTACAATACCTCTCCTGTAGTATTACCAAAAACATCTGAACTAGCAACATGATTCAGGACAATGATTATTAGCAATATATTGCGAGACTCGCATTATCATTAGCATTCTACTAGATTTGCAGCATTACCAGCACTCTGTTAGAGTTGCAGCAATGCAACAATCTGTTAGCTTGCAGCATTACTAGCACACTGCTGGACTTGCAGCATTACCAACATGCTGATAAATTTGCAGTATTACCATCACGCTGCTAGTTTTGCTGCATTACCAGCACTATGATAGATTTGCAGCATTACCAGCAATCTGTTAGCTTGCAACATTACTAGCACACTGCTAGACTTGCAGCATTACCAACATGCTGATATATGTGCACTATTACCAGAACTCTTCTAGACTTGCAGCATTACTGCTAGTTTTCCCAACGTTATTAGCAGCGAATTTTGGCCGAGAAAATCTAAAATGTTTAAGCAGAAATTAAGAATTAGACACCGTATCACGTCATATACTTTATATCTGCTTTATAAATGAAAACTTCCCGACTTTCCCGGATACAATCTCTGCTGTAATTGATCTGTCGAACTCTTAATGTTTTACATGCAACGCCACGCGAGGTCTATTAAACAGCTGTGTGTGTGTGTTAAAAACAACAGAACACCTCATTCTGAAATTACTTTTAATTACATTGGTGTACTCTTTGCCCATGTTTAATAACTTAGTTTAGATCAACATGATCAGACTGTTTCTCGAGTTAAAACATTTACGTGATATTCGGAGATAAAAACTGAAAACTTCTTCTTAAGTTTCAAGAAAACTTCACAGCTATATGTATTCTCCAGGATGAAAACGTCGGGAACTTCTCATAATGTCCAAACAAGAGCTCGAAAATGTCGTTGTTCTTTCTTCAAAACTCGAAAAAGTTATCACCCTTTCTGTTTAATTTCTATCAAAACGAGATAGTTAACCAGAAGGATAAAGTATTTATCGATAAATATATATTATAATTTTTAAAGTAAATTGTTGGTACTATCTATAAAATAACACAATAGTAAAGGCCAAACGCTGGACTTAAGTTTAATTTCTTAACGGGGTGACATAAGAAATATCTATATATTCCCCAAACTGTATCCTAGAAATCATTTGCATTTTATTATCATCTTTTTTTCGAAAATCAAACAATAATAAAGAAACTTTGAAAGATTATATTTGTAACACAAACCTTTGATCTTTGCTGTGGCGATAACGTATTTATCACTTACTTTTAAAATCGTCTTGATTGGCCTATGACTGAAATAGTTTTTTTTTTCCTCACCTTCCAGTAAGATCTACTTCATTGGTTCTGGCTAACAGTAATTTCTTTTGTCCTACTTACTTCTAATGAAAGACTCTGATTGGTCCCTGACAAACGATGAACTTTCTTCATCTACATTTTCTACTTGTGGTAAATTCTACCTGGCTGATCCATATAGAGTTAAAACGCAAGCTTTTCTTTTCTAATTCTAGTAAAATCCACTGAACTGATCTATAGCTAAGACATAAGTTTGCCTTCTGGTAAAACCTATCTGGTTGATCTATAGCTAAAATAACTTTCCTTTTCTAACTCTAGTAGAATCTATCGAATAGATTTATAGCTCAAACATAAGTTTTCATTTTCTAATTCTAGTAGAACTCACCTGATTGATCATAACTAACACATTTTTCCTTTTCTATATAAGGTAAAAACTACCTGAGTGAGTCATAGCTAAAACATTTATTTGCTTTTAATACTAACAAACACAATAGGCAAACTATGCTGCGCCAAACGCAGCTATCGAAACCCGATTTTTAGTGTTAGAATTTATCCCACTGAGCTTTAGCTAAAACATAAGTTATGTTTTTATACTTCTGGTAAAACCTACCTGGTTGAGCTATAGCTAAAATGTGAGTTTTCTATTTCTAGTAAAACCTTTTCTAATTCTATCAGAACCTAAGAAACTTATCTATAATCCAAATATACGTTTTCGTTTTTTACTTCTGGTAAAACCTACCAGATTATTTTATAGCTAAAAGATAAGTTTTACATTTCTATATCTAGTAAAATCTACCTGATTAATCATTTCCTAAAACAAATGTTTTCCTTTTATTTGTTTGTTTTTTAGAGCAAAGACGCATTTGTCTATTTATTTGATGTGCCCACCGCAGGGAATCTAATCCCAGATTTTAGCGTTTTAAGTCCGCAAACTTACCGCTGTCCCATCGACGTACGTATTTTTTTTCTATTTCTAGTAGAACTTACCTGATTGAGCCATAGCTAACACGTGCTTTCTTTTTCTAATTATCTTAAACCTACCTGATCGATCCATATCTAAAACACGTTTTATTTTTCTGTTTCTAGCAAAACTTGCATGATTGTTCCATATAGCTGAAATATAAGTTTTAATTTATTTTCTATTTCTGACAAAACGTGTCTAATCAATTCATAGTTAAAACATCAGACAGTTTCTCTTCCCCATTTCTAGTAGTACTTATCTGTTTGATCAATCGGTATTTTCTTTCCCATTTCTAGTAAAACTACCTAATTGATCTATGACCAAACATAGCTTTTCCTGGTCTTATTCTAGCAGTACTTTCCTGATTGATCCTTAGCTACAGTTTGTTTTCCCTTTTCCTACTTCTGGTAAACTTCTAGTTTGATCCTTTAGCGTACACATAAATTTTTCTTTCCCATTTCTAATAAACCCTACCTGATGATCCGTATAGCTAAAACATAACTTTTCCTTTTCTAATTCCATTAGCATCTACGGAGTTGATCCATAATTAAAACATGTGTTTTCGTTTTCTATATCTAGTAGAACCTACTTAATTGATCATTTGCTAAAACAAACATTTTTTCTTTTCCACTTTTACTCAAACTTACCTGATTTATCAATAGTTAACACGCTTTCTTTTTCTATTGTCGTAAAACCTATCTGATTGAACCATTGTTAAAACGTAAGCTTTCCTTTTCTATTGTCTTAAAACCTAGCTGACTGAACCATTGTTACAACGTAAGCTTTCCTTTTCTATTGTCTTAAAACCTAGTTGATTGAACCATTATTAAAACGTAAGCTTTCCTTTTCTATTGTCTTAAAACCTAGCTGATTGAATCATTGTTAAAACGTAAGCTTTCCTTTTCTATTGTCTTAAACTTAGCTGATTGAACCATTGTTAAAACGCTTTCTTTTTCTATTGTCGTAAAACCTAGCTGATTGAACCATTGTTAAAACGTAAGCTTTCCTTTTCTATTATCGTAAAACCTAGATGATTGAACCATTGTTAAAACATAAGCTTTCATTTTTTATTTCCAGTTAAATCTACCTGATTTATTTATAGCCAAAACAAATTTTTAGAACTCACCTGATTGATTTATATCTAAACTATGTTTTCCTTTTTTACTTCTGGTATAAATCTAACTGATTGAGCCATAGCTAAGGCATTAGCTTTTCTTTTCTATATTTAGTAAAACCTACCTGACTGATCCATAACTAAAGCACAAGTTTTAATTTTCTAATTCTAGTAGAACTTACCTGATTGATCCGTAGCTAAAACATGTTTTCCGTCTTTATTTATGGTAAAACCCAGATTGATTCCTAGATAAAACATAAGTTTTATTTTTTAAATACTAGTTGAAGCTACTCGATTCTTCCGTGTTTAACACGAAACTTTTTTCGTTCTTTTTTTTTTTCAGAAAAGACATACTGACCGGTCCATGGCTGAAATGTTCTTACTTAATTCCAATAAATTATGCTAATACTGAAAGTTCTATATCTATAGTAAATCCTTATTTGGCTATTACTATAAATCCGTTATTAATACTATCCAAATCCCCCAGTATGATTTGAGAAACGTTTGTTTGCCTGCACAGTAATAACTCCGAGTAATTATTAATGATTTCTGTTAAAAAGTAAGCTAAATATAAAAATCAGAACAAAAAAAGTAACTTTTAAGTTTACGTCAGTAAAGTAACTACTAGCTTACATCTATTTAATTCAATATAGTATTTTAGGTTAAGATGTATTAAGATTTAATTCAGTATGGTATGTTAGGTTAAGATTTGTACACATTCTCTTATTCTATGTTATTAACGTAATCCATTTACAGTAAAAGAACATTTAACAAGTTAATGTTTTGTAATATGTATACATTATTCCTTATTAATGTTACTGAAATGTTTCAATCATGGTCTTCTTTTTTTTTTTTCACCAATGCAATCACTGTTTTGAAAGATCTATTTCTCAGAAGAATCCGTAATCGTTCTATTTACATATTAAATAAGGCATAATTCATTTGTATTCCAATAATAGCATACCCGGCAAATTACATGACGCTAGGATTTATTTCAACAACAAAAACGAAAAAAAAAAACAGTACTAATGTTTTTGTTGTTTTGTTTTTTTGCAATTAACAAACAAATAAAAATGCCTTAATTTTGATTTTACACTGTTTTATCATCACTTACCGAAAATGTCTTCAGGGTTCTGATATAACTCTAAAGAAGACTGAAGGTCGGAGACGGTGGGGTCGCTCACAGCCAGCGGAGAGTAACTGTCAGAATTACTAACGCTGCCTTCAGAGTTCCCACTTGTAGCTTTTAAACACGTGGTGCAGACACACTGACTGTCATGAAAGTAGTTCAACTCAAACGAAGAAATGCTTCTATCTTGATTGTTATCGCCAAGATCAACAGGCCTTTCCTGAGTACTTACTGGTACGTAAAACCCTACGGGTGATTCAAGAGACACACCAGGAAGAGATGAACAGTCACTGACCGAAGTACTGACACATACTCCAGGCAAGAGAAAAGATGAGGAGGCCTGTGGTGGATTCAGGGATGTATTTGTGTTCTGAGCAAACAATCTTTTGTGTGCAATCATATCGGGAGGATCACTAGAGTCTGATTGTGGCGCTTCAGGAACGGCAATTGATGGGTATACTTGATCTTGTAACAGCCACTCCTGGGAGTTCCTTGTTGGTGCACAAGTTGGCGTTATGGTTGTGACTGGAACACCGTTGTTTGAGTAACTGACTGTAAACGTGCGGTAAAACGGCTCTGTAAACGGGGAAACTGAAGAATTACAAGGAGAAAACATAGAGGAATTTTGGCAATTCCATACTGGACCAATATTGGTTCCTGGGGTCCTACTGCCCTGCAAGTTAAAGCAACTGGGATTCATACTTTCCAATAAGATATCAGCGCAGTTGTGTAGGCGAAGGAAAAACTTTCTAACGTCGTTTTTCAGTTAGTTTGTTTCAGCTAAGCTAGTTTCTTTAGTACGCGCATCTAGGTAGACAATGAACAATTCATAAACGTTGGCAGGTTAAGTGCACCCTAAGATTTCAGTAACAAAATAACCTGTATGTCCAGCCGGGATTCCTACAGCGCGACAAGGGAAATTTTGGTGATTCTGTCACAATACACTCACACGAGGTCATGTTTAGCTGTGATTGTCACGTGGCACGACAGACCATGAGCTATAGCAGTAATGGGGGTGGAGTTAGCATTTTGTCACGGCTCTTATGTCGAACCGGGACGCCTCCATCCAACCCTCTGTACTGATCTTTCGGTTCCCCCAGCTGTGCTCCGAGAGCTGTCAGAAATATGATCGTCAACCACCGTGCGTACCAACGACCTCGATACCGAATATCTCAAGAGGAAGAGAGAAAAAAAAAGAGCTCGAAAATGAAGATGAGCATTAAACTAAGTGTTGCAAGAGTAGGCTAATCATAAAGTAAGCATCGATGCTGTTGTAGCACTTTAACATCGCTATTAAAATAATAAGATTTTAATGAACAGCTTCAAGCACAAATTTATACGAAAATGTAAATTTTCTGTAATGATTTTTCAATACTAGTACGAGCAACAAACATCCTTATAGATTTTTAAGAAACGCTGTTACTGAGTCATACATGAAACCCAACGTCGTTTCTATAAAACCCATACACCCAAGATACACGTCACATCTAAACACGGAACAGAAGTAAGCTACTTTTGTTTATGTCTGTGAGATTAAGTCAACAAGGATACCAGACTTTATTCTTTCGCTCTAAGGAAGATTATTCTTGTCAGATTTGTAATAATAATATCATTATCTTGTCGCCTGATTTAGGTGTTGACTTTTCAACATATCCGTGTTTGTATGACATTTGATAATCTGGATGCTAATGCGTATTGGCCTGTACTAAAATCTAAACAATCTATCATCGCTTACCACCGTCAAGTAGTATAAATTATTTATCTTTTTTTTTCCGCTATAAGATTACAAACTAGTTTTTTTTACAACCTTTAATTTGCCCTGCTACAGAGTGATTTTCTTCATTACTCTATATTGAAATGTCTCAGCGCATGTTAATGCATTACAAGCGGTCCTAAAAACTTTTTTTTTCTTTCGCCATTAAATGAACAATAAGTGCTAACATCAGTGGCGTAACTTGGTCTCATAAAGGCCCTGGGGCAAGAAAAATTTGTTGCCCCACAATAAAACTTTATCCGTGTTTCAGAGTATTTACCCCTCAATTATAATAATCGAAATTTCAAATATCAATTTTTGGGAGGTTTCTTCGATTCGGCATAGGCCTTGGGACTGCTTCCTCATCTGCTTCACCTATCGGTAATATGTAATATTTAAAGACTGGGACCCGAGCAATGCTGTTATTATTAAAGCAAAATAGTTTTTTCTACACGAGGGACAGCTGTTCTAGAGTTAACGGTTCGGACTGTGAACACGAAGATCCATGGTTCGCGTTCCATTACTGCAAAATCGTGTTTCACCCTTGGAGCCATGGGTACGTTATAAGAGTGACGGTAAAATCCCACTATTCAGTTAGAGTAGCCCAAGCTTTGACGGTGGGCACTGATGGCTAGTTGCCTTCTCTCTAGTCCATCACCTCAAAATTAGGGACGGCTAGTGCAGATAAGCCCTGTTTAACTTTGCGCGAATATCTGAAAACAAATTTAGAACGTTCCATGCTTCTGTTGGTTTATCACATTCAGTATTTAAATGTTTCTTCAATTAAATTACCCGTTATGCTGGGCTTTGTCGGAATTGAACTGAAATTACTCGAGTTTCTTGATTTCTGATTTATATATTTTTGTTTTTTCCTACTACCATAAAAGTTAAGAGCGATTGAAGGAAGACTGATAATTCTCAAGATGCGTATGTAATTATATTAGTTCAGGGTGGTCTTTGTGTTTCAATTTTATAATATTCTACAAAACAAATTTCACCATACAGTGTTTATTCATTAAAACTGTACATATTCTAAGCACTGAAAATATCCCCTTAGTAATATGGCTATTAAACTAAGGTACATCGCAAATGACGTTTGTTTTATAATTTCCTAGCTCTTTCAGCTATTGAGTTTATTATAACATTAAGCTGTTTGATTTCAATTGATATTTATCTCTTCTACGGTTCTTGGTGTAATCCTAAAAGAGTCAAAGATCAGACGAGAATCGGATGATGTATTTACGCATCGTCTAACATCGAATAAATTTGTTCAGTACTTATGCCACAAAATATAATTAAAATCATATAACGGTTCATAAAAACGAATTATTTATATAATTCTAAAAGGTTCAAGTGGTTCTTAGCTGCAATTGTTAAATTATCTAGCGGGATTATGAAGCAGTAGGCTCGTGATGGGTGATCGGAAAAACTAACCACATCCAGTTGTGACAAAGCGAGTGCAACCAGACCTTCCGCGTAGACACATGAAGTGCTGTATTCCTCTACTCCTCAATCAGACATTCCGCGTAGACACATGAAGTACTGTATACCTTTACACCTTAGTCAGACCTTAATCTATATTACTACTCACGACATGAGGTTAAAGTCTATAATAAGAACTACTTTTACTGATTACCTAGTATTACCTATGGCTAAGAAGGGTTTCAGTGCTGCCGCTGGTATTATGGGTTAGAAAACAATATCAGTTATTAAGACTGTCTTTTACAGTTTATGGACTTATTTTTCCTATGTCTTGTTGCTATAATCCAAATGATAATATATTTTGAAGAAACTTCGAGGTACGTGATTATTAAAAGTCAATTCGATAATTATCTGTGTAAATTATATTAAAAAAATAATCCGTGTATCCCAGACTTAACGAAAACAAGAGAGCGTTTGTTCTTGTTTGTTATCAAGCCCAAATCTACGCAATGGGATATCTGTGTTCCGCTTACCGCGGGTATCGAAACCAGATCTCTAGTATTTTAAGCCACAGACTTACCGCTGAGCCGACGAGGTGCAGGGAGAGCGTTATATAGAGTAGTGTATAAGATATTGTTCCAAGACAGTCCGTCTATACCTTGATATGTATTTAGAATATTCTAAAAACTAAACAGAATGCGCATTCATCTTTAAGTATCGATTCAGTTAACGATTATTTAGTTTTATATCCTTCAACAGTTCTTAATTCCTCTTTTCTGGCAAGAAACAACCAAATATGTACCACTGTGGTCGATTTTCAAATATGCTTTGATTATATTAAAAATTACAAACTAATATTTCATACAAAAGTAAACAATTAACACGTGGCTTGATTAAGAACCTGATAAATATTTTCCGAAGCCGGCGACGACTCTTTAGCGTGTAACTTTTTAAAATGTTACTTATGTGGTAAACTGGGTATTAACTTTGCAGTGTTAATGTGAATATATATATATATGTGTAGGTCTACCGTAATATGTTTTCCGGGTTTGGTCTCTGTATTGGTACCATGAAAAGACATATGAATGCCCTTTTCACCTCACGGATTTATTACCTCTACTCTCTGCACTAATACGATTCTATGTCTTAGTTGTCACCGGCTATCTATACACTTCCAATATTTTAACCAATAATTTCTTGTAAACTTTAGGTTTATTTCAAATAACATAGAATGAATTTGTTTGCCTTGATATTGCTAATACCAGTCTTATTAAGATATTTTAAAATCTCATAATGAGCGAAGGCACTAACATAATATATATGTTTTTATCGTTGGAGTTTCTAAGAATGAAACTTTCTGATGTAAAACCTTCAACGAAGCAAACTAGACGTTTAAATCCTCAGGAAACCACACGTTAAACATAAATGTTCAATCTTGTTGGATAAACATTATGTAAACATATTAGATGTTTGTATTACTTCAAAATGACCGTTTTCGAAACGATATAGGGTGGTGAAACACCATACAATTGTACACATGTTTATAGTTACAATAACAAAACCATACAGTTTATATACTGTAAAATGTATTGTAGCTCAGTCTTTAGCGGAAATTACAATTTTTTAAGGCTGTTTGCTGCACCATAAATATTGATTTAAAACAAGACTGTCGTATTTTGCAGCCATGGTATTCCAAGACGTTTTGTAAAGTAAAGTTAGAGAATATGTAATTTTGTGAAAAATACAGATATATCGATATCTGTTATGAAACAGTTGTATAGAAATGTTTAAAATCGATAATTCAAAATTACATGTGTTTAGTCTGGTAAAAAAAGTAGAAAATATGTTTTATATAACCTCTAACTATCTTGTTAAAAACATTTAGTAAATAAAAATGTTTGTGTATTTTATTTCTTATAAATACAATAGACAAAGAAAATAAGTACATTACCAGTAAATAAATGTAAGCTAAGCACAAGAACATTAACTTCAAATCTCTACAGAATCAACTTATTCATCCGATACTACTATAAGAAAGCTGGTATTATGATGCTTTAATGATATCATTTCACTTAAAAGTTCTACAGCATTATTTAGACTACATAACTTACAGTTTTTACATAGGATTGTGCCCCCCCCCAGTGGCACAGCGGAATGTCTGCGGACTTAGAACGCTAAAAACCGGGTTTCGATACCCGTGGTGGGCAGAGCACAGATAGCCCATTGTGTAGCTTTGTGCTTAACTTCAAACAACATAGGATTGTATGAATTATTATTAGCTATGGCTATAAGAGCTAACGCCTGAGCATGCATGTGGTTATTATCGTTATTAGTTGACACCACACTGTTGTTTATAATATTATTATCGTTATTAATTAACACCACATTGTTGTTCATAATATTATTATCGTTGTTAGTTAACACCACATTGTTCTTCACGTGATTGATATCATTAATTGATATCACAAACAAAACGATTTAATAGAGTTGTTTTTTGTTGTTTGTAATTTAATCTTTTTTTGGGTGTCTGGATGATTTGCCTATCAATGTGGCAGAAAAATATATCTATATTTTGGTGGAAATTAATCAAAAGCTACTAATAATTCATTCAATCCTATGTAAAAACTATAAGAGCTAACGCCTGGAGCATGCCATAGCTACTAATAATTCCTTCAATCCTATGTAAAAACTATTAGAGTTATCGCCTGGAGCATACCATAGG